CCTTTAAAGATACAAATACTACTGTTATGTCCTGGCCTCTTACTACACCCTCCCTCTTCCTCCCTTGCTCATTTGGGCTCTACTCACACTGGCCTCTCTGACCTGCAAGGACACAAAGCTCATTTCTGCTTCAGAACTTTTGCACTGCCTGTTCCTTCTGCCTAAAATGCTCAATCCTACATGTAATCCAAGTCTCCAACTGAAGCCTCTTCTCCTGTGTGGCTTTCCCTGCCACCCACTCTTCTCTCATCTCACCCTAGTCATTTACCAACACCTCTGAGATAAGCATGATCTTGGACTTGCACATACATTTATCTCTTAAAAATAACAAGTTACATGGCATGCTATAGTTATATAGGGTGGGGCAAAATTAGGTTTACAGTTGATCCTATGGAAAATAAAACAATAATTAATTAACAAATACAAGAATAAATTGTGTTTAATGTACTCACAACTGTAAGCCTACTTCAATATTTCAACATCATCACATTGTCAAGTTCAATTATTGGGTCAGCAGCTAAGTAATTGCGGGTTTCACACACATATGGCTTCAGTTGAATTTTTAGGTTTGCAGACGTAGTACAAATGTAAAACACATTTTGTTATTTGGTAGTTGGCTATTCAGCTGTTAATCAGTGAAAAAAGTTTTTTGATCTGTTTTGTAGTTTTCGTTTGGCGTTCGTTGAAAAATGGAAAATCAAAAGGAACATTTTTGTCATATTTTGCTTTTTTATTTCCACAAGGGAAAAACGCATTGCAAGCTCATAAAAAGTTATGTGCTGTTTATGGTGACGAAGCCTTAAAAGAACGGCAGTGTCAAAATTGGTTTGCCAAATTTCGTTCTGGTGATTTTTCACTCAAAGATGAAAAACGCTCTGGTCGTCCAGTTGAAGTTGATAACGCCCTAATCAAAGCAATAATCAATTCGGACTGTCACAGTACAACACGTGAGATTGCAGAGAAGCTTCATGTATCACATACATGCATTGAAAATCACTTAAAACAACTTGGCTATGTTCAAAAACTCGATACATGGGTTCCTCACGAACTGAAAGAATCACAGTTAACGCAACGCATTAGCAGCTGCGATTTGCTAAAGAAACGTAATGAAAATGATCCATTTTTAAAACGACTGATAACTGGCGATGAAAAATGGGTTGTTTACAACAATATCAAGCAGAAAAGATCATGGAGCAGGCCAGGTGAACCAACTCAAACAACATCAAAAGCTGATATTCATCAAAAGAAGGTTTTGTTATCAGTTTGGTGGGATTACAAAGGAATTGTCTACTTTGAACTCTTACCACCCAACCGAACGATCAATTCTGATGTCTACATTGAACAACTAATGAAATTAAACAATGCAGTTGAAGAAAAGCGGCCCGAATTGACAAATCGAAAAGGTGTTGTATTCCATCATGACAATGCAAGGCCACACACATTTTTGGTCACTCGGCAAAAATTAATGGAGCTTGGTTGGGATGTTTTGCCACATCCACCATATAGTCCTGACCTTGCACCATCTGATTACTTTTTGTTTCGATCTTTACAAAACTCCTTGAATGGTAAAAATTTCAATAATGATGATGATGTCAAATCGTACCTGATTCAGTTTTTTGCTAATAAAAACCAGAAGTTTTTTGAACGTGGGATTATGATGCTGCCTGAAAGATGGTAAAAGGTCATTGATCAAAATGGGCAATACATTACAGAATAAAGTTATTTAGTTCCATGAAAAAATTGTCTTTGATTTTCTTTAAAAAATCCGCAAGTACTTAGTTGCCGACCCAATAAATATTTGCTGACCACCTTCTATGAACTAGACAGTGTTCCTTGCCCAAGATGGCCTTGCCCTAACCCTCTTAAGTAAAGCTTCTCCAGCTCTTGGCCTGGTCATAATGACACCAGTGTTTAAAAAGCATTGACAGAAATTTGGTAAGATCTCTAAGATATTCTCTCCTAGCCCATCACTAACCTAATTACATTCTACATACTCACCATGTATAGAATGTGAAATTCCCTCTCAGGGCTCACCTGTAGATGTCTACAGGGTATTTAACTTGTTGTCCCTCCTTTGGGGGCACTGTTCATTCCCGCTTCATAGCATCCTTAGAATATTCATCTTCAACTATCTCTCTAGTACGAGATGTCCCCATTGTTCCCTAAACATTGTGCACCTGTTCCACAGGGCCTGACAGCAGCCCTCCTTTTTCTGTGCTTTCCCTCTGCCTCCAAAGGGAACAGAATGCCCCCAAACAAAACTGCGCTCAAAGGGAGACAACTGAGGCTCAGCCTTGAAAAGCAGAGCTGATCTAGTTTCCTTCTTAGTTGATGTAAAGACACAGGCTCAAGGCCACTGGTTGTTAGAATGGTGGCCATGGGACAGAGAAAAGATTTACCAGAGGGTCCCTGTTTCTTCCTCTATGAAATAAATTAGAGGAGATGATTCCCAAAGGCCTTTTCGCCCTTAGAGAAGAACCCCAATCTCAGCCCCAACAGGAGACGGCTTCAGTGAACGCCAGCATTTTCTTCACTCGGGGCTCCACTGACACTCAGCTGCTTCCCGTTCCTATGGCACAGGCCCGCCTCCAAATCGTGAGGACAAATATTCACTTTAGTTCACTCTAGGGCCATTGCAGACTGACAAACATCACCACATCAAAGCCTACCTCCCTGCCACAACCAAACCATGATGCCCCCAGGTCTGGAGATCACTCTGCGGTTGATAAGACAGGTTTCATGCCCAGCTGCCATGGCTCAGAGGTTGAGCATTGACCTATGGACCAGGAGGTCACTGTTTGATTCCTGGTCATGGCACATGCCCAGGTGTGGGGCGCGAAGGGGGCAGCTGATCAATGATTCTCTCTCATCACTGATGTTTTTATCTCTTCCTCTCCCTTTCCTCCTTGAAATATATATATATATATATATACATATATATATATATATATATATATATATATACACACACACACACACACACACACACACACACACACACATACATACATACATACACATACACACACACACACTAGAAGCCCAGTGTACAAAATCTGTGCATGGGTAGGGTCCCTAGGTCTTGCCAGCGATCAAGGCCAATCAGGTTTCCCACCTCCTCCTTCCCTGCTCCCTCAGTGCTCCACCACTGCCACTGGTAGCCTGCCATGTTCTGCACCACCCCTAGTGGTCAGCACACATCATAGCAAGCGAATGAACTCCTGGTATCCCGGTCAAACTCCCAAGGGGACACTTTGCATATTAGCCTTTTATATATATATATATATAGATAGATAGATAGATAGATAGATAGATAGATAGATAGATAGATATTGAACTGGTTTTACACCAGTCCTTCACAAGCCTTCTATTCCAAATTTAGTTTTCATGCTGAATAACAAAGTCTGTCCCATGTATACCTTAAAAATCAGAAAGTTATTTTGGAAGTAAAATTATATGACATTTTTAGAAAAATAAAATGTAGATAAGAATTCTTAAAAAGTAATAGTCAAAAGGCCAGGGAGCCACTTAAGACACCTAACTCTCCTGAGGTCTTTAGTCTTGGCCAAACGGACCCTGACAACCCTATGTGCAATCTTGGCCTTGCCTAGACCACCCTGCAGATACTTTCTTGTTGGAAAGATAGGGAGCAGGAGGCCAGTTTCTTTCTAAATGGACTTAGCTCAGCTCACCGTGGGGCAGACAGGATTTCAGAGGCTGCCAGTCAACACTTCCCCAGACAACACTGTATACCAGCGATTTTCAACCTTTTTCATCTCATGTCACACATACACTAATTACTAAAATTCTGCAGCACACCAAAAAATATATTTTTTACTAGTCTGACAAAAAAGGTGTAATTTTGATTCATTCATACTAGATGGCTATTGTGTTGCCTATTGTCAATTTTTTTTTTTTTATTGAACAATCTAAGGGAAAAGAGGTCATTGCTCCTGACTAAATAGTCAGGTATTGCATGTTTTAAAAATTCTTGCGGCACACCAGTATGCCTGCCATGGCACAGCAATTGAAAATCGCTGCTGGATTAACCCAAGTAATGTTTCTCCAGTAAACAAGGAACTTAATACATATGTGTCACACAATGGGTGAAGAAAGAGAGCAAACAAGTGTTTTTTTAATATATAACTTCAATTATTCAAACTAGCTTATTATGTCTCACTGTGTAAAAATATTTTAATAAAGACATCAGATAAATCCTTGCTAAATGATAATTTAAAATCTTGCTTCAAGTACAAACATACATTAAGTACAAACATACTTGCTCTCCGAACAGCCCAAGTACAGGCTGGGTACTTTCTCGTGCGGGCATTTAAGCTTTTGATCCTGTATTTCATCTTTATGACTTTTTTCTAAAACATCACAAGTATATGCTTTGGGTTGGTTCTCTGTTCATCCCCTTTTCTGGGCAATTAAGATGTCCTTTGAATCTGAAAACTCATGACCTTCAGCTTTGGGAGATTTTCTTGCATTATTTCTTTCATTCATTTTTTGCTGTTCTCTCAATCAGAAACTCTTATTTGTCAGATATGCTGAAACTCTGAGAGTAATCCTTCTTACCATTCTTTCACATTTTCAGTATTTTTGCTCTATTTTTCAACAACTTTGTTTTACTTTCCAAGATCTCTTCATCCTTATCTTCCAACTTTTCTCTTCAATTTTATTTCAGCAACCATATTTTAACTTCCAAGAGCTCTAATTATCTAATTTTTCCTTTCCGCAGCATCCTGTTCTTGTTTAGAAGACTTTATACCCCCTTGAACTCGCAGTGAACACTATTAAGAATTTCTCCCAAACTAGTTTTTTCACTTAATTCACATACTTGGTTCACCAGGTGTTCTATTTATATCTTCATGATGTCCATCCACCCAGGATAAAGGAAAACTGTACCACATGCAAATAGGCAATAATCAACTGCTTTTTTAAAATAGTAATTACAACAAAAGAAAGTACCTAAGTGCACAAGAAGTGAGCCAGCTTACCTTCATGGAATCAGAGTATAAAATATATTCCCTGAGCACCGGCAGGAAGTCTTCTGTCATGTCATCCGTCAGCTCTTCCAAGGCTGTGGAGCAGTTGCCGATGCACGCAGACACGCCCTCCAGGGGTTCGGCCAGCTCCCCCTCTAGCGCGCTCCACGTGGAGTACACAGGCCCGTATTCTCTGAGCTCTACAAGGTACTCTAAAGCGGGAAGAGGAACCAATAAGCTTGGCTGGGCAGCAATCACTGGTATGACAGACTCAGTAACCGAGACGTGTTCATTCACCTGAGCATGCTCCTCTTTAAACACAACACCACTTATAACAATTTTTTAATCTCTAAAAGCTGATCCTACAATCAGCTCCACCCCACAATGAGAATGCCCTGCCTCTGGATAATGGGGACCATACTGCCTTCTGGAGGGGGGTGTGGTAGAAACCACATCCATCAAATACCGAAAAAATTAACCACTCTCCTACCCACACAGAGAAGCAGTATTTTAACAGTGGTGGTAGAGTTTCCTATAGGTTTAGGGGGATGTGTGTGGTTGTGTGTTTTTTAAATCAGTCACAATGGAAAAATGGAATTTTAGGAAACATTTGATACAGGAGATGTGGTCTTACACAGGCAGACTCAGTCTTTCAGTCAAAGGTTGCCCCAGTCCCTGGTCCTTAGATGTGAACGGTACCGACAGCTAACTCCCAAACCTGCAGGCCCCACATGATACCATCAGTGGGTAAAGGAGAACTAAATCACAGGAACCGAGAAAAATGTTATTTCCCCTCACAAAGAAAGCCTGTCTCATCATTGTTACCAGGATGCTTGCCATGACAACAAAATGTTGCTGCCATTTTTTTAAGCAACCAATGGGTGGATACTATTGGAGAATCCTTTCCAATGTGCTTCATATCACTGCCAGCATGTTCATTAATACTGTTCAGGTATGTTTGGCTCACATGAGTGTAAGAAAATAAAAGGGGGGGGGGCAATGGTAAGATATGTACACATATAATACCTTAGATAAAAAAATGAAAGATATGTACATATATAATACCTTAAATAAAAAAATGGGAAAAAAAAATAAAAAATAAAAGGCCCCAACATTGTGGGATACAGAAAAGCAAGTGGCCACAAGAGGTGAGGGGAGGAAGTGGAAGAACAGCCAGGAAGAATAAAGAAAGACCTCACAACTCCCCAGGCCAGGAGAGTGGGTTTGAAATGCAGCAGGAGCAGGGCTCGTTAGGATCACAACTTCAGCAAGCACAGGTCACCATACTGTCCTTTTTAATTATTTCAGAGAGGAAAGGAGAAGGAGAGAGAGATAGAAACATCAACGATGAGAGAGAATCATTGATTGGCTGCCTCCTGCACGCCCGATACTGGGGATCAAGCCTGCAACCCAGGCAGGTGCCCTGACTGGGAAATGAACCATGACCTCCGGGTTCACAGATCAGCACTCAACCACTGAGCCATGCCAGCCGGGCCTTTTGTCCTTTTGAACCACCTTTCTGCCAGAAGAGATACCTGAGTTTATTTTTAAGCTATTCTTATTAATGAAGCGAGGCTGAGTCAGCATCTCCACTTCTAAAGCTAAAGTTAACAGGGAGAAGTGAGAGAGCCTAGATGCTCAGAGGTGGCTGTTTGTCCCCGGGGAAAGCAAACACTAGGCTGAAACGCAGGGCAAAGGAGGCAGCACAGGGTTATACTCTGCTCACAACTACCTCTTCCCCTCCTTGTTATTGCTCATTAGTTTTATAAGCAGAACGTGGCCTCGCTCCATCACTCCAGCACTTCCGCATTTGATTCCGTTTATTAATAGCACACGACTGACATTTCTCTGGGCACGATCAAACTCGCAACAAAAAGCTCACCTATTTCTTCTTTGATGATCCGCTGGGCTATCCGGTCTATGGTTCCCAGTTTGAGTGCAAACGTGTCTAAGTATTCGCCGATGGCTGCAAACTCCAGAGGCCGACTCCTCAGCTTGTAGCCTCCGGTGACATGCTTGACCGACTCGCCCACTCTGGAAAGCAGCGCCATCCCTTGCTTCTTGTAGGCATTCAGGTCCTAAGGACGACAGATGGACAAACAAACTCGAAGGGCTCAATCACTCACCCAGCCAGGACTCAGTAACCAGCTCCTCCAGGCAGTTGCTCTTGGAAACGGGAGGACTCGGAAGATAAGGAGCTGAGTGAGAGGACCTGACCACACACACAGAGGTGTCCTCTCCTTCCGTCACTGCCACCAAGCTCATGGCCTGCCTTTCTAATCAGGTTCACTTACCTGAGCATGCTCTCCTTCGAACAACACTGTGTTTCCAACATCATTTTTTAAAAACTTTGACCAAAACAAAAAAGCTCCTTCCTCCCTTGCAAAACATCCTAAGTTGTCTTCAGAACCAAAATTCAAGGACTGAAATTCATTCCATTCATCTTATTTATATCTCCACCAAAGCCAAATACGTAGAGAGTAAAGGGTGGGAAGTCAGACATGGGGACAGAAGAGCCAGGGCTGGAAAACTCGGGGAAAGGGCAGCTGCTGTAACAAAACATTTCATGTTGGGCTTCTTGGTCAAGGCATACATGGGACATATAGTGAGCAACAAAAGCATTGTATCTCAGTTTAAAAACCACAAGCTTCTTCCTATCGCTAAACTCCAAGAGGAGCTGTCAGTGTCTTAGGTTGTTCTATGTCCCTAATTTGAACGAATGGTGCCTGTTCAAGAAGATAGAAGATGCAGGGGTCAGCCCTAACTGGTTTGGCTCAGTGGATAGAGCGTCGCCTGCGGACTCAAGGGTCCCAGGTTCGATCCCGGTCAAGGGCATGTACCTTGGTTGTGGGCACATCCCCACTAGGGGGTGTGCAGGAGGCAGCTTTTCTCTTTCATCGATATTTCTAACTCTCTCTCCCTCTCCCTTCCTCTCTGTAAAATATCAATAAAATATATGTTTTTTTAAAAAGATGCAGGTGTTTGTTCCTTCTGTTCACCCTCAGTACAAACAGAATGTTAACTCCTAGTCCTAGAAAGGCATGTCCACAGGGAGATAAGGGAGCACTGCTTTCTGGTGACCCAGTCTGATGTAGGGACAGGGCAGAGAACAGGGCATCACAGTGAACACAGCTGTCCATTTGACGCACAATCGTAGGCTTGGATCTCCATGACTGAAGTGTAGACTCCTCCTGATTTCACTTCCTTCTCCTTCTTCAAGCAATTGGGGCCTTCACTTTTGCTTTTGATTCTATCCTTCTTTTTCTACCCCTTCTCAACCACCCTCCCCCTCCCCTGTCTGTATTTTCAACTTCTATTCCTTCAGCATGTAAACGATACCCAAGGCTTGCCCATCTTAAAAACAGCAGAAACCACCTCCAGGCCCCATCCTCTACTTCTTACCTTGTTTTCAAAGTCTGGCTGCCTGAGAGAATGTTCTAAAGAATCCATTTCCTGTTATAACTTCAGACATTCTAGACCCCCCCCCAAAAAAATATCCTCATAAGCACCAGGCTTTCACAAGACTGTAAGTGAAGCCCTGGGATTCTCAGAATTGCTTCCCCAGACAATATTTTTTGGTGTAAGGCTAGATTCAAAGGGGCTCCTTGAACTGCATGCGCTCTAGTTCGAGTAGAGCTTTGAAAGGGCAACCGCAGTTATCCAGGTTCATTAACATGCTGAACAGTTATTTACAGTACCTCTCTGACTGCTGCACCCATTCTGCCAACGATGAAAACAACGATGAACATAGTTGATATTGAGTGTCCCCTACCACCCCCAGCATTCCTGGCTGCTGCTTCAAGACACTTGTAGTTTGTGATAAGATCATGTCATCACAAGGAAAAGGATGCTTCTGCATTCACTGTGGCAGAACATGCAAGTGGGTAATTTAAGAACAGGACTAAGTGTTTCTTGATGTGTTAAAAGAAAAGGTGGGGTGCTAGGGAGACAAAGGGATGGAAATTTGGGGAGTTGTTCTTTAATGGGTAGAGTGTTTCAGTTCTGCGAGATGAAGAAGTTCTGGAGATTAGCTGTCCAACAATGTGAAAATACTTAACATTAATGAAGTATACATTTTCAAGTAAATAAGAGGGTCAATTTTATGTTATATGTATTTTTCCATAGTTAAAAATAAAACATTGGGGTCATTTAGTGCATGTATTCAATAGTTTGATAAATAACACTGAATTAGGGCTAGGCTTTATTCTGCTTAAACAAATCAACTCCTCTTACTCACATGAATTTGGATTTTGATTAAGACATTGAAGAACTATTTTTTTTTTAAAATCATTGCATACCACCTGGGCCACAGATAAATTACACACACACACACCCCTTCCTATTTATTCTTCACACAGATTCCCAATCACCAGGGCCCAAGTTACCCCCCACCCCACCCCTTTACTTCTCTGTGTAATTAAAATGACTAAGCTTGAGGGTCCGCCTGGCCATGGACCTATAATTTGGGTGAATCAGTGAGTTACACCTTGGAGAACAGGATGGATTTTACTTTGTATATAAGCTGAAAGAACTATATCTGGGGATCAGTTCACTACAAATACTTATTTTTAAAATAACACGAGTTTGACCCGTTGGGGAAAAGGCCGCCTGGACAAAGAGAATACGAATGGGAATGCCATCGATGAGGCTAAAAGCCAACCGCAGTTTAAAAACAACAACAAAGACCTCAAGCACGAAAGGCGTCCCGTGTGATTTCCATTGTCTGGAATGACACCATCTCTAAAGACTTTAATGTCCACTAATGTTACCTGTAAATATTTCCCAATTTTTACCGTGAAATTATCTGTGTTTAAAGAAATAGGAAGTGTTTAAAGAAACATTTCTCCCTGCTTTTGGCAAGTGAAAATATTCTAACTTCCTCTGCTGATGCAACGGGCTGTTTCTCCTAAATCCTATCACAGTAATCATGCTACTGCAAAGGGCACCAAAAACACAGGCTAGTCAATGACACCATGACAGTGGGCCATTCATGAAGGTGGCTTGTGAGAGATGGAAACAGCTTTTCAGAAAGGGCTGGAGAATGCTGTTGTGGGGGAAGGAATATGAAAAAAATCTGTCCTTACCTTCGCAGTAAGGAAAACATTGAAGTGTTCATTGAAAGAAAGTACAGGATGATCCGTAATTCTTTTTAGGAATTTATCCAAAGCTTTTCTTCTGGTCTCCACAAACTCTTCTGAAAAACGATCCACAACACCCTTCACCACAAACTTCTCAGGAAGCGGCTATGAAGACAGGAAGAAAAATATTCAGAGCAACTGACAAAATTGTGCAAAGAAAAACCACCAGGCTAGCCAATCATTCCTATGACCCATCTGCCCAAGAACAGTATTTCTTAACTGCTCAGATTTTTAAGAAGTCATCAATATAAACATTTAAAATATATATATAGACAGAATAAATCAAAACTACCCTGTCCAGTTTTTAAATGCAAGAAATAAAACGCAAGAGCATATTTCCTGGATTACAGAAAAAAGCCAGTCAGCATTTATCCAGTAAATCCAAGTTAGTTACCTTCACATTGCTTGATGCACAGATGATATAATGAGAAAGTCAGAACAAGATAAAATAGTCTAAGGAAAGAAGGCAGATAACATCAACCACACAGAAATATTGTATATTTAAATCCAGTAAGATTCTACTCCCAGCTCAAGAGGTAAAAGAATTTGGTGGATAGAGAAAAAAGTACATGTTATTTTAAAAATACATTTCCTTCTCCCCCTTTTTGTTTAGGTTTATAGGAAAAGGTTCTTTAAAATGTAACTTCCTTTACTTCCCTTACACAAACAAATTTCTCTATCATATTTTCTTTGAGCCAATATTGTGGGTAATTTCAAACTACCTGGCCACTGTAGGATCTCTAAGCTTTAACCTATTTTGGTGGTAGTTTGATCAAATTAAAAGGCCTTCCTCATTGATGCCACCACAGGAAAGAAAGTATTTGCTAATGCACAATTTGAAATGTAATAGTTATGAAATATTAAAAGAGCATTTACATTAAAAAATGGGCAAGTGATCTCGTCAATATTTCTCCAAATAAGATAAACAAATGGCCCAATAAGCCCATGAAACAATGCTCAATATCATTAGACCTTAGAGATATACAAACCAAAACCACAAAGAGAGACGCTTTCATACTCACTAGGATGGCCATAATCTTATTATAAAAAGAAAGAAGAAGAAAAAAAACACACCAAGTGTTTTCAAGGTTGTGAAAAAATTGGAACCAGTACTTAAATCCACAACTTGTTCAAACTCCATAATATGGCCATCATGAGATGTTTTCTTTTAACTTATTAATCCTCGAGAACAAAACACACACACACACACACACACACACACACAAAACAACAGAAACAAGATACAGCAGCAAGGACTTAGCCAACCCGAAGGGGAATACTAAGTCATCAAGTGGAGCAGGAGAGACAAGAAGCAGCCCAGACTGATAACACGGAACCTTAGAAAGACTTAGGAACTGGCAACACCACACCCCTGGAAATGGACACTTGGGAAAGCTTTGCAGAGCCAGTATGTTTTAGTTCTCGAGAGTGAAGGCTCAGGCTCCGTGCCTCCTGGGATCATCTTTCACCTCTGCCAAAGGGTCTGGCTTTGGTGAAGTTCTATAATCTCTCGGTACCTCAGTTTTTTCTTCTGTAAAAAATAGAGAACAATAGTACCAACCTCATGAGGATTAAGTTAGCTATGAGGTTGACTGTGCTTCAAACAGTTCCTGCCACCGAGCAGACACTTGATAGAAGTTTGTGTGTTTTGGGCTGTAGGAGTGGCTGCAGCTTCAGGGGACTACTGTTCAGGTGGACCCGGAGACGGTAAGGGTGTTTGGAGAAGAGGAGAGTTGAGGGATTTCTTTTTAACAGAGAAAGAGTTCTACAGGACACAGTGGGAAGGGTTAGTGATACGGAGGAGCTCTTAAGGGAGGAGAGTCAGGAATAAAATGACGGAGCCGCATGGGGATAACATGTCCAAGTCAGATGTCCATACTTGGGTAGAATATTAGACACACATGACTAACTCAGATGCAGAGGCCACCCAGCCCAATGTTCCGGCAGCAGAGAAGCTGCCTTAACAGGGCATGTATGGCTGTCCTTTAGGATAATTCCTTTGCTCTGCTCTATTCTTCTCTCATTCCCGCAGACAGCCATCCTCCTGAAACCCTACACTCAGCTTCCAACATTTCATGCTAAGCAGATTACCGTCTCTCTGAAGGTACAAGGGCAGCACATGGGAATTCCCTAACCATTTTGCTTCCTCCACAGAAACCCATCTACTGGGCACCACCCTCACCTCCATTCCTCAGATCCCTGTGGAGAACATGCTCCTTCTCATCCAGCTCGATGCCCTGAGTCTATAAAAATATAGCTTGACCCAGCTGGTGGAGCATCAACCTATGAACCAGAAAGTCATGGTTTGATTCCCTGTCAGGGCACATGCCTGGGCTGTGGGCTCGATCTCCAGTGTGGGGCATGGAGGAGGAAGCTGATCAATGATTCTCTCTCATCACTGATGTTTCTATCTCTCTCTCCCTCTCCCTTCCTCTCTGAAATCAATTAAAAATATATATATATATGTGTGTGTATATATATATATATTTTTATTATTATTATTATTTTTAAAACAGCACACACTTGCTAATGCTTTTGGTTACTAGCAGGGGTCCTCAAACTTTTTAAAGTGGGGGCCAGATCACGGTCCCTCAGAGAGCTGGAGGGCCGGACTATATGAACTACTAATTCCTACTGTAACACCTCGGCTGCGCTCACTGCCCAAAAAACCTGGCGGGCTGGATCAGACTCCTCTGCGGGCCGCATGTGGCCCGCGGGCCGTAGTTTGAAGACGCCTGGGTTAGAGTGTCATCCTGTGCACCAAAAGGTGGATGGCTCGGTTCCCAGTCAGGACACATACCCTGGTGGTGAGTTCCATCCCCAGTCCAGGTGCATGCAGGAAACAACAGGTCAATGTTTCTGTCTCACATCAACATTTTTCTCTCTCTTTCCTTCTTTTCTCTATGCAATTACGTGCTAACAAACAAACACACACAGCCAGCACACTTCTAGTTTTAAGATGGCATTTTAAGAACATCTGGTTATTTATTTCTGCTTTTAAAATTCCAAAGGCACAATGCAATATAAAAAAGAGAAAAGGCTGTTGCAGCACCAGAAAATATACTGTTGACAGGACAGAGTTTGTTAAAGACACAAAGCAGAAAAGCTTGGGTTCAGAGAAAAGTCAATCGATATCAACCATCTCAGGCAAAGGAAAGGTAGGCTCAGGAAGTAAGGGGTTGGGTTTCTCCAGTTGAGACCCAGAAGTTGCCAAGTTCAGAGCCTAGAAACAAAGGCCAGCTTCACGGCAGCCAATACGGAAAGACAAAGCATAGAACTTGGGTGCCTCCCCAGAACTTGGCTGACGGTTCACCTACAGCTTCACATGACCCCACTGCAGCCCCGGTAGAGTGGGAACTTTCTCTCCAGGCTCCCAACATAAGCAGTAGAGTCTGAAAGCTCAAATACTCTCACATGTTTTTAATGACAATTCACTTAAGTTGGCACAAACAAACAAAAATCAGAAACCCCCCACACTCCCCCCTAATCTTCCCACTGATTCAAAAGATTCTGAAGTTCATCTTGAAAAATAAAGCGTGCCCTGGTCACCCACTTGGATGGCAATAACCAAAAATAGATTATAACCAATGTTGATGAAGACGTGGGGAAGTTGGAATCCTCACACACTGTTGGAGGGAATGTACAAGGATGCAGCCGCCTTGGAAAACAGTCTGGCAGTCCCTCCCAAGGTTAAGTATAGAGTTACACATGATTGAGCAATTACACTCTTAGGGATACACCCAAGAAAACAAAAACTTGCATGTGAATGTTCGTAGCAACATTACTCATAATAACAAAAAAGTGGAAACAAATCAAGTGTCCATCAAAGGTGAGTAGATAGACAATATGTGGCATATCCACACAATCGAACGATATTCAACAACAAAAAGAATGCAGAACTGATACATTCTACTACATGGATGAACCTGAAGAACATTACGCTAAGTGAAAAAATCGACTCACAAAATACTACATAGTGTATGGTTCTATTTATATGAAATGTCCAGATTAGGCAATTCTATAGCAACGAAAGTCCATTAGCAGTTGCCGGGCACTAGGGAAAACAAGGTTTGGAAGTGAAAGGAGTAGATTTCATTTTGGGGATGACAAAATGATTCTAAAATTGATTGTGCTGATGGGTGTACAACTTATGAATATACTATTATAAAAGCCCATGACTTGTACATTTTAAATGGGTGAATTGTGTAGGTATAGTAATTTTATCTCATTTTTTAAAAATAAAAATGTATACAATGATTACACTAAGTAAAGTTTAGTGGGTCTCCATCTGACAAACTCTTCAGGGTGAGAGTCTCCTGTCTGTCTTATAAGCCGTCGCCTTCCCAAAGGTACAAAGATGATGCTTAATAACAGGTAGACACCTTCTAGCAAAGGTGCTGCAAAATGAATTTCCATAGGGGAAAATTTTTTCTTGTTCCCAGTTTGACTTTCCTGCTTCAGTCAGAGATGCTCTCCTATGTTAAATCTCTCTGCAGCCCAGCTGGCGTGGCTCAGTGGTCGAGCATTGACCTATGAACCAGGAAGTCATGGTTTGATTTCCAGGAGGTCATGCTGGGTTGTGGGCTGGATTCCCAGTAGGGGGGTATGCAGGAGGCAGCTGATCAATGATTCTCTCTCATCATTGATGCTTCTATCTCTCTCTCTCACTCCCTACCTCTCAAAAATCAATTTAAAAAATATATTTAAAAAAAATCTCTCTGCAGCCCAGATATGTACTAAAAATTTATGAAGAAATTTAAGTTTTGACTTGATTCTAAAACGCTTCCTCCTCACTGCTTCTACCCAGACCATAGGAAACCATACTTACAAGATACTCTGGATCATGCTAAGCATTCTGGAGACTCTTCCATTCTCTTCCAGTTCTGGCTTCAATGCCTGCCCAGGAGTGCTACTATTTCACCAGCAGGGGTTGCTATCTAACCTTTGATGGTAAAGCACTAAACCTAAAATGCACAATCTGCCAGGAGATGGAGCACAACTTCCCTAAAGCACGCAGTGTGTGTGCTCCGCATAAAGAGCGACTTCCTTCCAAAGAGCATAGTATGGAAAGGGGGAGAAAACAAGAGTATCCGCAGCGGAGAAACCTGACAAGCACTACCTCAAGTCAGGTGATCAAGGTGAACATCAACAGTGATACATACCGTGCATAGTAGGGACCCTTGATAAGATGCAAGGAGAAAGGCACTTTACCTGTGCATTTTCCTCCCCAAAACACATTACCCTGGTCGAATCACGAGGAAAACATCAGGTACATCTCAGCCAAGAGGCACTGTATAAGATGCCTGAACAGCACACCCCAAACCCCCAAAGTCATCAAAAACAAGGGAAGCCTCAGAAACATCACAGCCAAGAGGAGCCTAAGGAGACCTGAGGACTAAATGTAATGCAGTGTCCTGGTGGGCCCTGGGACAGAAAAAGGACATTAGGCAAAAACAGGGACCCAAGAAATAAAGGGCTTTCAGGAAGCGATAATGTACCACGACTGGTTTGCTCACTGTGATAAATGCGCCATATTAAAGTGTTAATAAGCAGAACAGTGTGGGGTGTGGGAGAACTCACTGTACTATCCTTGAAATAATTCTGGAATTCTAAAACTGTTCTAAAATAAAGTCTATTTTTTTTTAAATCTGCTAGCTGCTAGTTTTGCCAAATTAAGATTTTTTTTTAAAAGATTCTATTTTAAGGAATAGTTCCAATGGTTTCAAAGCTATAGTTTTTTTTTTCCTTTGGGCACATTTTTAAGTGACTGTAAGACAGAAAAGCAAAACTCCAGGCTTGGAGAGTGGAAGGGTGGAGGAGGTGGGGGGTAGGGGTAGAGGTGGGGTAGGTGCCTAAGAACAGAGCCTCAGCCACCTCCCATCATTCCCATCGCAGCACCAGCAACATGACTGCTTTTGCCTTGAAAACCACCAGAGTGTCACGTATATTCAGCCCTTCCCACCGGTGTGTGTGAAAAAGCAGCAGTGGGAACAGGAAAATTGGTAGGGCTCAGAAGTTATTCAGCCAAGCTTATTATAGAAAGAGAAGGGCCCGCTGAAGAGGTTTATGACCTCAATTGCCCTAAAGCCACCAAAACCCCAAGAAACATCTGGAATGTAAACAGCTATTACCTCTACACTAAAAATAAATGTAGTCAGGAAAGCACTCAACGAGTATGCTGATTTCAAGTAGTCTTTTCTGTTTTATTTACTCTGGTTCTGGTTTAAAATGTGCAGATATAAGTCATAGGTAAATATTATGCTGCTTAAATAAATAAAAGTAAGGTGGCCTTGGGTTTGTTTTTTAAACGGAAAACTGGTGGAGTGGATCGTGTGCCAGATTCCTGCCCCCTGAGTTACCCACGTCTAAAGAACGCCCAGCAGCTGCGAGCGAGCGGAGGCAGCGTTCTGCACCTGGCGGCAGCTGTCCAAACCTCAGGAACAGTGTCTCCAAAGGGGAAACAGACTTTAAACGGGCAGAAAATGGGAACTAATACTCTCCATACTTCAAAAATTGTCATAATGGAAGTGAAAGAGGTCAGAGAAAGACAAGCATCACATAATCTCACTCATATATGGAATCTAATGAACAAAATAAACTGATGAATGGAGTGGATCCAGAGACATAGAAGTATGGGACAGAGTGCAGAATCTAGGAGGAAGGCGGGGGTGGGTGGGTAGTTGGGAGGTAATCAACATAGACCTTGTATGCACAGATGCAAATCCATGGACACAGACAACAGGGTGGTGAAGACCTGGGCCGGGGCTGGGGGGGGGGGGGGTCTAGAGGGAGTCAAAGGGGGGGAAAGGGAGGCATGTGTAATATTTTCAACAATAAAGTTTTTTTGTTTTTTTTAATTGTCATAATGGAAGTGAAGAACTACCCCATCCCACTCCAGAAAGCAGCATACTATATAGCAAATCAGAAACCAAAACCCAGCCCTAGCTGGTTTTGCTCAGTGGATAGAGTGTTGGCCTGTGGACTGAATGCAATTCTGGTCAAGGGCATATGCCAAGTTTTGGGCTCAATCCCCAGTTGGGGTAGGGAGGATGTGCAGGAGGCAGCCAATCAGTGATTCTCTCTCAACATGGACGTTTCTATCTCTCCTTCTTCCTTCCCCTCTCTCTAAAAATCAATAAAAATATACATTTTTTAAAAAAAGAAACCAAAACCCAAAGGGTAATATATATTTACACAGTATCCATAAACATTTGACTGGTGAATCTGGTCTAAAATGTAAGGCAGAGTTTGCCCATAACGTAAGGGGTGAGAGTTGAGTGGACAGTCTCAGAGAAGAAAATGCAGGAAAAATGAGTAATAAGCTCTAGTGACTTAGTACCTACGGGAATGAGATGAGTGGGCTGCGATTCTTCCAGTTTGCTCCTCAGCCAGTCAAAATCCTGGTATCTTCGACGGACAGAATATTCTGGCAGGTCAAACTCCACCCGAGTACTCTGCGAATAAGAAGAATGGAGCAAAGTAAGCATAAGAGAATAGGAGTCTGTCTTGGCAGAAGGGGAGGGAAAACACTCTCTGTGAATGACTAGACTGGACAAGAACACACTTTCCTTCCACCAGACACACAGCCAAAGGGCAGGGCCTACCCACAAGGAAGGGGGTCTGGGCCACAGGGCCCAGTTAAAAGTTCGAGGATCCAGCCGAAACCGGTTTGGCTCAGCGGTAGAGCATCGGCCTGCGGACTGAGGGGTCCCGGGTTCGATTCCGGCCAAGGGCATGTACGTTGGTTGCGGGCACATCCCTGGTGAGAGGTGTGCAAGAGGCAGCTGGTTAATGTTTCTCTCTCATCGATGTTTCTAGCTCTCTATCTCTCCCTTCCTCTCTGTAAAAAATCAATAAAATATATATATAAAAAAAAAAAGTTCGAGGATCCAGAATGAAAAGGTCCACGTGTGTGAGTGTGTTTTCCACCCTCACGAAGTGGAACTCAACTATCCCTCAGAATTGTGTTCCGAAACATTTGATTCATTTCCTCCAAGTTTCAGTTTGAGAATTTCTTTAGCCGAATCACTCCACTGAAGATATTGCTACTGAATCCGAATCTGTGAATCTGTGAAAAGGAATTACATCTCCACTTTCTGATAAATATGTTCACAAGTTTTGCCAAAGGCAGGGGAGAAACAAACAAAAACAAACAGAAAGTAGAAAGAACAGGCCATCAGCTCATTTAGGAGCCAGATTAGATAAAAATAGAAAAGGTTTTGCCTCATTTGCCATATTCTGGCCAGAACCATAACCTTGAAATTACATTGTATTTCAGATGATAAGAAAAAAAAAATTTGACAAGTAAATAATACCAAAATGTCATTGTATGGAATAAAAATATTTTTCTCATCCCCATTTCTGAATTTAATTTTTCTGAAATGTGATTGTAGCATTTTGATAATGAAAATCAATGTTAAGTGAAATTAAATTAATTTACAGGAAAACAAGATTTTTACACATTAATCTGCCCAAACTAAAGTTGCCTCAGCCAAACCATCTTCTCTATAAGGGTAACAACTGTAGGACAATCACACTTCTCAGGTATTAAAGTACAAAATAAAAATGGCTCAAGCTACATTTCGTAAAATCACCCTTTAAAGCCAAAAGTCTGTTTTAACCACACCGCCAAGAATATCTTCGAAACACATAGGAAAGAATTATTCATCAAAGAAAAAGCTGTTAGAGGCTTTGGCATTGAAAATTATGATTTCACCCTCCCCGAAAGCTGTGCTCACACAGTCTGGCTAAAATCGTGTAGTCAAAGGAATCAGCCTTGACTAGACCCCAGCTAACTCTTTCCGCATCTTTTCCCCTTTTCAGAGCCCCTCGCGTTAGCTTATGCCCACGAGACACAAACTTCTCCTATGATGGAGCATAAGGATGGGACGATGTGGGGGAATTCATTTAACTTAGGGTTTTGTGACTTATTGGAAGACTCCCCAAAGGAATTAGCACTGTAGAATTGGGGGCGGGGGGGGAAAGAATACTTAAATCCGAAGAACAAATCACTGCCTACAAATTCTCAGGCGTACGGATCATGGAAATACTGAGAGCAGGTCGCCTGAGGAACTCTGCGCATGAGCAGTCCTGGAACACCACTAAGCCTCTTGGGTCTCATCCACAGTTAGAAGACAGTTGGAAAGGATGATCTTGAGATCCCAAAGAGCACCCCCGCAGGCTCCATTTCCCTGGGTTTTCCGCCTCTTGGGACCTACTGACCTCAAGAGTGTCTTTTTTCTTCCTCATTCAGCGTCAATTCCATGAGCCATCACTTGGGCCTCTGATTTGCCAATATGCCCCTTTCCACTGTCCATCCCACGACTCTCACAGAAATGCAACCACCACTTCTTACTCACATGGACCCGGGCATGTGAGCACATTCCTGAAGGCCAAGTCAGCAAACACACTGGTCAACACAATAAGTTTCCCAACTGGACTCTCAATACTGGCAAGCAATCTTTCTTTACTTCCTTAATCAATTCTCTTCCTCATTTTCCACATCAGTTAATACAAAGCCTGTACAAGTTTTGAGAACTGGTAAACCCCACTTCAAAACTTCCCTACCACTCCCAGTACAAGACCTCATACCTCTCCACAGAGCAAACTGCAGCTATAAGCAAAGAACCCTCAACTTTCCGCCACAAAAAGACTCCCTTCCTTTCTCCAGAAACAATGAAGGAAGTCCACCTCCTTCATTAGCAGCCACTCCCTCCCTCCACTTCTGCCCAGGGTACTACCTCCTCAGTGGCTGTCTACTCTCCAATACTCAACCCCATGCCTCCTTCTCCTTCCACACTGGCCACCTGGCTCTTAAACAGGTTTCATCCATCCTTAAAAAACAAACAAGAAGCCCACCCCGCTCCAGTTCACATCCCCCTCCAGCTATTGTTCTTGCCCTAGACTCGCTTTCATTGCCAAACTACCACCACTCACAACTACCACCTTTCTTTCCTCTCACACCCTAACCCACTGCCAACTGGGCTCCACCCCACCACGTCAACGGCACTGCTCTCCCACAGTCAACAATGACCTTCTTGCCATTAAATCTTCTGTTTATTTTGTAATCATCATCTATAACCTGATCTTTCAGCAAGATCCAGCCTGTTGAACCACTGAGGCATTTGAAAAGGAAAACTAGCCGAGACCGGTTTGGCTCAATGGATAGAGTGTCGGCTTGGGGACTGGAGGGTCCCGGGTTCGATTCCGGTCAGGGGCATGTACCTTGGTTGCGGGCATATCCGCAGTAGGGGGTGTGCAAGAGGCAGCTGATTGATGACTCTCTCTCATCAATGTTTCTAACTCTCTCTCTCTCCCTTCCTCTCTATACAAAATCAATAAAATATATTAAAAAAAAAGAAAGAAAGAAAAGAAAAGGAAAACTAGTTAGGCCCTAAGTGTTGGTAATGGCTGGTGATAGGGTAAAAGACAAGAGGAAGATGGCTTTTAACCTCCAGTCTGCTTCCACATCATCATCAATATCAACAGCCTCGGTAGTAAACCACAGTGCTTGAGTAGGCAGGGGAAGGCGGGGGTGAGGGGTGGGGGTGGAGGGAATCCTCTCTTAAAAATCATGTCATGTCCTGAGTCCAAGTTCTAGCTTCACCACGTATTAGTTGTATGTCTGAGCAATTTCCTTAGTATCTCTGTGTCTCAGATTCCTCATCTGCAAAATAAAAATACCACCAGTGCCTATTCCATTGTGTGTGAGGATTAACTGGTGATACCTTTAAAGCACTCGGCACAAAATAAGTGACAGCTCATCCATACCACAGAGCACTAGTGCAGACTCAGAAATGACAACATAAAAGCATGTTTACTGGCATTAGTACAGAAAGACATTTGCAAAATAGTAAGTGAATTGACAGCATGTAAAATACTCATTTTTGTATCAATAAATGAATAGAAACAAATGGTTCCTAAAGTTGTGATTATTTCTGGCTAGAGGGCTTATAGATAATTTATTTCACTGTTTTAGCTTGCTTGTGTTTTCCACAATGAGCATATATTACATATATAAAATAAAATTTAAAGCGTTTCTATTGCAAACAAGTATAGCACATGGAAAGTGCTCAATAATTAGCTATTATGGTGATGTTACTTTCTAGGAGCCAGCTGAGAAAATCGCCAATTCAGCCTGCCCTGAAAAGATCTCTCCATAATTAGGAAGATAAGAAATCCACAACTTAGATTCACTTTGCCTACACTGTCTCTCAGGCCTAGAATCATTTCTTCTTAAATTTTTATGTATTTATTTTGAGAAAGAGAGAAAGATACAGATACACACAGATAGAGGTAGAGACAAAGAGAACGAGAGAGAGACAGAGAGAGATTTGTTGTTCCACTTTTTAATCAAACTCATTGTTGATTCCTATATGTGCCCTTTGCTGGGATCGAACCCACAACCTTGCCATATCGGGACGACACTCTAACCAATGGAATCTTTAGGCTCATTTTAGCTCAGACAAAAGCAGCTCTGTACTTTGTCCAGCTTTTTGGTCATCAGGAATCTGAAGTAGGACTGGAAATCAAAGCTCAAAGTAATAGAGTAAGTATATGTATGACCTTGTCCTCTGACCATGAACTTTGCTTGAGAACCTCAGTAGAAGTAGGGGCTCTGGGACAAGATCAGGTGTTTGGGACCCTGTATTCCTGTGTGTCCTCTCTCTCATCCTTGCACGAATCCTTTAACACAACATTCAGAAAGAAGGCCCCAAATGCGTCACCCAGACATTAAACCTTGGAACCGGAAGAGAAAAAGACTCTGGTCTAAGATGAGAAGTGGAATTGACAGTAAGAAGTAAAACTTAATATTGCAACAAGTTTACCTGGAGGTGTTAACATCGCAGCCAAATGAAAAATGTGGGATTGGAGCTTGGAAAAGGTTATACTGAGACATTATCTGACTTACTGGAAATCAAACAACCCCAGGAAAAGGAATAGAAATAAGACCACAGTGAGAAAGGACAAGGAAGCAAGTGAAAAGAAGAGGCACAGGAGAGAGCTCGTGGGGTAGCCTGTGGAGCAAGGCCCTGCAGGATTAGCGTGTGGGAGGTGAACAGCAGGGCTGAAGTAACGTGGCGGTGGGAAAACATCCAGGGAGAGCACAAATTCAAGAAAAACAGGTTTTGCATTTCACTGACTGCAGGTTAAAAAATAAGCTGACCCTAGGGGGAAAAAAAATAAGTAACTGGAAATAATTCATGGGAATACATTATATCAAGCTAGGACTTCTGAGGAGATAATACGCATCCAAGCACCTAGCCCATAGTGCCTGGGAGGCAGTAGGTACCCAGTGGCAAGGGCAATGGGGGAACACTGTGTGAGTGCATGTGTATGTGACAAATATTCAAATGTGAACCAGAGGACAAGGCAGTGATAGCACAGTGGCACATAGCAGAAAGTCCAGAACTATTAGTTTCCATCCTTCTCTTACTCCTTCTCCCCTTACCATCAAGCCTAATTATACCCAATTATAATCATGACATCATCACAGAGGTTTAGGTTAACACAATGACTTATAAGTTTCAAATGCAATGTGATGATAAGACGTTAAATAGTATCATGATAAAAAATAAGTGAAAGTGGAGTTGACCCTTGAAAATCACAGCGGTAGGAGTGCTGATCCCCACACACTCATCCATATACCTTTTGACTCTCAAAAAATTTAACTACTAATAGCCTACTGTTAACTAATAAGGTGAAGAGTCAATTAACACATATTTTGTATGTTATATGTAGTATATGCTATGTTCTTACAATAAACCTAGAAAAAAGAAAATTTTATTACAAAAATTGTAAGAGAAATACCTATACAGTATTTAATGAAAAAAAAAAATCCATGTATATGTGGACCCACACCATTCAAACCCATGTTGTTGAAGAATCAACTATATAAGGATTAAAGTTTTTTTTTTGAAAGAATGTAGTCACAATTTATCCTTCATTTTATGATCAAAAATACATATATATATATATAATCCTTTTACTTTGAATATATCTACTCTCTCAGAAAGCCATAGCCACAATTATAAAAGGGGAACAGAACTGTACAAAAGGAGAGAGAAAGCAAAGGCAGAAATCACAGAGGAGGACTCTCATTCTCCAAGACCAATCAACATGGGCACAAGATAATAAAGGGACCTACTTTGGTGGTGATCCTGTACGTGATATAGGTCTCCATTGTACAGACATGCTTCTTGGGATCATCAACGGTGACAAAGAGATCTCTGGTTTCACCATCGATGTCGTCATCAAGCTGAAGTCTGTTGAGAAGGGAAGATGAAGAAGCTGGACTCGAAGTGCCTGCTGGAGTTCCACCGTTGGGCAAAATGAGATCCTGAAAGAAGAAGAAAAAATCATCTTACAGATTAAGTGAAAACATACCTGGAGAATATCAGCAAAAGTAGCTAGTTTACCCAAAGCAATAAACACCTCTAAATACAAACAAACAAAACTTTCAAAAAATCTGAACCTCTCCTTACATAGCGTTTCTTAAGTGAGCAGTTCTTTTATGACCAAGAGAAACAAGCCATGGCCGAGTTCTATACCAGATTCACACTGATTCATCTTCCAGCAAAGAATGGAGGAACCAACAGAAGCAAATAATTCAGACAGAATATAAAACCCCCACCATCATCAGACCTCAACAGCAAGTGAACTTGGTGAGCACATCATAAACTCTTTCCCACTTTCTCACCTACCACCTGGGCCCAAGTAAACATTAAGGGACCTGAGTCCTCTAAAATATTTAACACATTTAAAAATTCAATTAACCAATGCAAAGAGAGCTAAATATTTTGTACCTCCTGAAAGAAGCTCATTCACAAAACTATCTATGAAGTATAATTGCCAAAAAACTGAATCTGAGTCCTGAACTAATCTCTGTATCCAAGAAAAATTTACAGGAAATACAGAGGAGTGAGGAAGATATTAACAATATTATGAGGATGCAGTCAGCAAACTCCCTACTATGTGAAATTAAAGAGAACTAAAAACCCAGTTTCTTCAATAAAGAGAGAGAGAGATAGAGAGATGAGAGAGAGAGAGAGAGAGAGAGAGAGAGAGAGAGAGAGAGAGAGAGAGAGAGAGAGAGATAGGAGAACCTAGAGATGTAAAAAACCTTAAGAACTTAAGAGACTTATAAAAAATTACAATGGGGAATCTGATTAAAATAAAATGTTAAAAGATTTTGAGACACTCAGGAAAATTTGAATAGTGGTCATTTGTTCGATGATATTAAGAAAATTTTAGGGCCCCTGGCTGGGAAACTCAGTTGGTTAGAGCATCATTCTGATATGTCAAGGATACAGGTTGGATCCCCAATCAGGGCACATACAAGAATCAACCAATGAATGCATGAATAAGTAGAACAGTAAATCTCTCTCTCTTTCTCTCTCTCTCTCTCTCTCTCTCTCTCTCTCTCTCTCTCTTTCTCTTTCTCTCTCTCTCTGAAATCAATTTTTATCAAAAAAAATTATTTTTTAGAAATATATACTAAAATATTTATGGATGAAAAGACAGGATGTCTGGATTTGCTTCAAAATAATTAAGGATAGGTAGGTGGGGATATAGATACTATGAGATGCCCCATTGTTGATAATTGTTGAAGCTGGTAATTGCAGATCCATTATACAATTCTCTCCTTTTCTGTAAATGTTTAAAATTTTCCACAATCAAAAAATATTGGGAGGGGTAGAATGGGGGCTGTGAGCAAATGCCAGGGGGGAAAAAGAGAAGGAAAGATTTTTTTAAATTATGGACTTCTTTCTCTTTAGGCCCTAGTAGGAAACCATTTGAATAAATTAGGTCCCTAATATCCAAAAAGGTGCAATCTTACAGTTTTCTTTGGTTTTAAGATTTGACAACAGAACAAAGCCCTGCCTGGATGTAAAAACCTCTGAATGTCCCTTTGCTGTCGTCATCAGGAGACAAACACTAAGGAACATGGCAAGAAAGCGAGGTGGCACCATGGAAAGTGCCTTGATCAGGGATGCGGAAAACATTCCTGACCCACGGGTCTCAGAGCCCAGGATGGGGGTGGAAGATGCCTTCTCCTAACACACACACACACACACCCAGCCATTCCCACCCCAGGCAAGCCTCCCCCCCGCCCGTGTCTGTGTCCATTGGTTATGCTAATATGCATGCATACAAGTCCTTTGGTTGCTCTCCAACTCCCTCCCTCCCCTGCCATTTGTCTCTGGATCTATTCTTGTTCATCAAATTATGTTGATCATTATATACCACATATGAGTGAGATCATGTGATATTTATCTTTCTCTGACTGACTTATTTCGCTTAGCATAAAGCTTTCCAGTTCCACCCATGCTGTTGCAAGTGGTAAGAGCTCCTTCTTTTTTATAGACACCCCTGTTCTTGTCTGCAGGCTAGATATGAACCTCCAGATTAGAAAACACACAGGAAATTAGAGGTCAACCTAGTGATCATTTTCATGAGCTCCAGCGAATCCTGGGACATCTGGGAAGAGGGCTTGGACAAGACAGAGGGAAGCAAGGCCTGGGGTCAAGGGCAAGGTCACCAACACCGATAATTGAGTCACACACTCGATTACGTGACATCGAAAATATTTTGTAGCTACTGAGAGGGTACCATTTTCACAGGAGGTGCTCCTGAGAATGGACGCCACCTCCACTTCGCCCTCGGCAGCTGCTCTGGTTGTGGCCGTGACTGTGAGCCCAGCTGGTTCTGCCTGCTTCCTCAGCATGCTGACACCACAGGGCACGGGGCATCTGGGGATCTCAGAGAGGCACCTTCTCTGAAGCTCCGAGATAACTGTCATGTTTTCATCGTTTCAGCAGATATTTAAACAGGCACCGTGCTTGGCACCGCGGGGACCCACCCTAACATTTCATCAACACTAGGGCCCGGGCCCCAGAATGGCCCTGTCCGTGACGAAATATTGCACAAGAAGAATTCAACATCTTCACTCAGATAAACGACGCAGTTTCCACAGCAGTTTTCCACCAGTCTGGCCTGGACCCATCTCAGCAGCCGTGTTTCTCACCACACCAGCTCCCGGGACCCACCAGGCTGTCTCGCACCCCTGATCTTTGCTGCAAAGCCCCCTCCTCCTTTCTATGTACGGGTCTCCAGGTATCACACAGGCATCTGCTCACATTCCCCTTCCCCTTCAAACCCTTGGCAGAATTAGTTACTCCCTTCTCAAAACTTTGAAGCAATTGTCACAGTTTTAATAATTGACATGTATAACATCTGCAAACACTGTGAGTCCCCAACAACTGTAATTGTACGCGCGCGCGCGTGTGTGTGTGTGTGTGTGTGTGTGTGTGTGTGTGTGTGTGAGACTGTCTGCAGGTCTCCCGGTGACTCCCAGCCAACCTCCCTAACCTTTGCTTTGGGGACTTCAGCCAATAACCTTCCAGGAATAGCCCACACAAAGTCTGAAATGTTTTGGCCAGACAGTGGGATGTGAACTATGTCTCAAACCAGTGAGTGGGGGAGAGAGGGGGCAGGCAGTCCTCCGGATCCGTGGCACACGGCACATCCTCTCCTCGTAGGGCTGTGTGACCAAGGAGAACACTCACTCTCCTGCTGCGGCTGCTTCACAGACAATTATTTGAGCTCATACAAACAGCACCAAGCTACCAGCATCTGTGGTTTCCTAAAAGGGGGTGCTGCCAGCGCACCTCTGGACACAGTGCTTCCACATTCATATTTTATTGCACCCCACATGGGCCTGGTGAGGTTATCGGGACAGACACGGTCTCTGCTGATGAGGGAGTAGATCCAAAAAGATTAAGTAACGTGTTCAAATGTATGGACACTAGTCATTGCTACGCTAAGAGTTGAACCAGGTTTCTGGTTCTGAGTTCTAGGTTCTTATCAAACTGAATCCCCCTAAGGTGGCTTTCCCCAACCCAACCTGGCCCCTCGTCTCCACTCCCTGGCCAGAAATCCATTTGGAAACATGAGGCTTCTGTGTCTGAAGCCAGTCAAGAAAAGCTAACATTTTCCGCCCTAAACGGTTTGGCCCAGTGGATAGAGCATCGGCCTGTAGACTGAAGGGTCCTAGGTTTGATTCGGGTCAAGGCATGTGCCTTGGTTGTGGGCACATCGCTGATTGATATTTCCCTCTCATCAATGTTTCTAGCTCTCTATCCCTCTCCCTTCCTCTCTGTAAAAAAAAAAAAAAAAAAAAAAAAAAAAATCAATAAAATATATATATTTTTAAAAAGCTAACATTTTCCTTGGGGTCTTAACTAAAGGTGTTCCCTGAAGGATTCCCCTCAAAATATGGTCCTCGTGTGGAGAGAAAAGATGAAAATCTTGGGCGGAAAGGGCAGAGGGTGAGGTGGACGGAAGGCCCCGGGTCCCCTGCCCTCAGAGTGGCCCAGCAATGGACCTGCCGCGCTGAGAGGCAGAGGCTGGCGCAGGTGCTGGGGAGAAGCAGCACCTTTAGACTCTGTGACCGACAGGATTGGAGAAGGGAAAGGTCCTCCTGGCTCAGCACAAAAGTCTCCCATTTTATTTTTGCTCTCCCAGTCAGTCCTCCCACCGCAGCCAGAGTGCTCTTTGAAAAAGGTTAATCATTGTTGAATATAGTTAATGACTCTGTATTGCATATTCAAAATCTGTAAAGAGAGTAATCTTAAAAGTTCTCATCACAAGAAAATAACTTCAGAAGAGCTTGAAAAGCCTCTGAAGGCATCCTTATGGAGGACGAGTGGTCTCTGAATGTGCAGACTATACCTGACTTCCCTCACTTTCTCCACCCCCCCGCCCCAGCTCCTGCCAGCACAGTCAGATGCTTGAAGAATGAATATATCTTACACAAACTGAACAAAGCATTCTTTTTTATTTTTAAAAAATATACTTTTATTGGCTCCAGAGAAGAAGGGAGAAAGATAGAAACATCAATAATGAGAGAGAAGCATTGATCGGCTGCTTCTTGCATGCCCTACACTGGGGATTGAGCCGGCAACACTGGAATTGAACCATGACCTCCTGGTTAATAGGTCAACGCTCAACCACTGAGCAACACTGGTTGAGCTGAACAGAACATTCTTGATTGCTGACTTCATCGTAAAGTTTTATAGTTAGGCCCACTTTGGAGAATAAATTCAAAGGAAAAATCCCAAAAATGTTTGTTCAAAGATGTTCCTAACAGCAAAGAACACAGAGTGAGCTCTGGAAAAACCCCAATGGCACAATGACCAGGAAATGATTGTGTTTGCCAACTAGAATGATACACACTCAAAATCACAAGTTTATACTCTGGTCTAGATAAAGTCAGTGAATTGGGCACAAGCCTTTGCTTTCTCTCTCTTTCCACCTTCCAGGTCCTAACCTAACAAC